GGGAGGCTGAGGCAGGAGGATCGCTTGAGCCCAGGAGTTTGAGGTTGCTGTGAGCTAGGCTGACGCCACGGCACTCACTCTAGCCAGGGCAACAAAGCAAGACTCTGTCTCAAAAAAACAAAAAAAAAAACCTATAGGCGATGCAAGGAGAAATAACATATTTGTAACAGGTTGAACATGCCACTCTGAATCCAAGACAGGTTAAAAGGGCCAAAATCCAAAATGAAATGATACAGAAGCCCTCAGTCTCTTATGGATGTAATACCAAACTTTGTACTCCAATAACAGAGAACACACTTTTTCAAGCACACATGGAACATTTATGAAACCTGGCCACCTATTAAGGCACAAAGTAAACATCTCCATAAGGCAGAGATAATCCAAATACATACTCTAATCACAATACAGTAAAACTAACAACTGAAAAAATCAAAAAATCCTTTCCTACTGGAAATGTTATTAACTCTCTATTAAATTACTCTTGGGCCAAAAGACAAACTAAAACTATAGAATTTGTTTTAAAATGGTAACACCTTTTACCATAATCCATGATACAATTAAAGCAATGATGCAAAGAAAATTACATCAAAAATGAAAGAATGAAAAGAAACACCAAACTCAAAAGTTAGGAAAAGAACAAAGTCAAAGGAGAAACAAGTGCATAGTAAAAAGCAAAAATCAGCACACAGAAATAGTAAAGCTTACGAATCAAAAAGCTGATATTTGAAAATAAAGAAAATAGACAAACATATCACTAACCAAATCAAGATGAAAGCACAAACAGAAAAAATAAGAAGTGGAGCCGGGTGCAGTGGCTCACGCCTGTAATCCTAGAATCCTAGAACTCTGGGAGGCCGAGGCAGGAATCACTTGAGGTCAGGAATTCGAGACCCATCTCTAGTAAAAGTAGAAAAAATTAGCCAGGTGTAGTGGCATACACCTGTAGTCCCAGCTACTCCAGAGGCTGAGGCAGGAGGATCACTTGAACCCAGGAGTTTGAGGTTGCCGTGAGCTAGGCTGACGCCACGGCACTCCAGCCTGGGCAACAAAGCAAGACTCTGTCTCAAAAAGAAAAGAAAAAGAAAGAAAAAATAAAAAGTGGAAAGAGGAAAGTATATTGAAATAAAGGAAATTTTTTAAAGTGATGCTACTTTGAACAACTTCATGCAAATAAAGTTGAAAACCTAGATGAAATAAATAATTACCCCAAACTGACCCAGGAGCCAGAGAAATTCTAAACAAAAATTCCCGTAAGAGAAATAGAGAATGTAATCAACCCACCCCACTAAACCCATATAGTTTCACAGGGGAATTCTTCCAACCTTCACAAACCAGATAATCTCAATGCTACTTCAACTGTTTCTCATCACTGCAAAGGAAGGAAAACCTCCAAATGCTCTTTATGAGGTGTCTTAACCTGATAAAAGCTGCATAAATGCAAATCTACATATCATCAGTGCAACATTCTAAATCAAATCACAGCAAACATCTAATGGCACATTTCATGTAAATGAATATACCTCATGAGTAAATAGCAGTTTATTTCAGGAATGCAAGAATGGTTCAATATTAGAAAATCCATTAATATAATTCATCATTGTAATTGAAAAGAAAAATCATATGATCATCTCCATAAATGCCAAAAAAAGGCCTTCAACAAAATCCAGAACCCGTTCCTCAAACATAAGACACTTAATAAATGGATACGTTTTAACATAATAAAGTCCAAAAGATAGCAGTTAATTTCATAGTGAAACAGAATACATTCCATGCAAATCAAGGAAAAGGCATGAAGACCATAATCTTTACTTCTCGTTAAAGCTGTGTTGACAGTTTGAGGCGATGCAGTCAGACACAGTTAGAGGCAGCAGAACCGGAAAGAAAACCCGAAGCGGGGCTGGTGGGGAAGGCGTGAATGATGGAGGCTGCCTGGTGGGCACACCGTGCGGTGCTCCAGAAGTGCACCGAAGGCCCCGACATCACACGATGCAATATACCAGTGTAGCACAGCTGCACCTGCACCCCATGAATATATACAAATATTGAAAAAAGGAATTGGAAAGGAAGAGGTGAATTACTTCTATTTTCAGATGATACAGTAACACTTCTGGAAACCCCAAGCAATCAATGAAAAAGCTATGACAAACAATGAGGAAACTTAGCAAGATGATTAGATATCAAATTAATATATAGGAATTGATAGACACAAATATATTTTAAAAGAACAAAAAACTGGAAGACTGCATTGACTATATCAATATTTTAAAGACGATATCTGGGAGTAACTTCACAAAAAATAATGAAAATATATGTGAGGAAAAGACTAAAATACTTTAAAATAAATGTTTAAAAAAACCCACCACAGGTGAAGCCTGACCCGGTGACATGCATCTGTAGTCCCAGCTACTTGGGAGTCTGAGGTGGAGCAGGGGCCGTGGAGTCCGGGAGTTCGAGTCCGCAGTGCGCGGTGGCTGCCCGGTGAGTGGCCACGCACTCCAGCCTGGCAACACGCAGCAAGGCCCCACCTCTTCAAACAGCAACGACAAAAAACAGACAGACTAGACTTAAACAAAGAGAAATGCATTCCATGTTTTTAACAGCACAATTTAACATAAAGAGGTCAATACTTCTAGCTTAAAAAACCTTGGCAGCTACTCAAGATTATTTTAAATTATTGTTAAAAAGCAAGAGTACTTGGGAAAATCACTGCTTTTTTTGTTTTTAGGGTTAGTGGTAGGTATATCTAGACATTCAAACACACTATAAAGCATCCAATAATTAAGTATGTGGTATTGGTATGTGCATAATGAGACCAGGTAACCAGAATGAAGTCCAGACCCAATTACATGGAAATGTAGTATGCAGTTAAGATGGCATCGCAAATCCCTGGAGAAAAGACAGACCTTTAAACAACTGGTGTGTCAGTTAGCTTTTGCTGCAAAACCAAACACCCCAAACATCCTGGCTTAGAACCACTACAGCTGACCGCTTCTCATGAGGCTAAGGGTGGCACGGGCCACAACTCTGGTGAAATTCAGTCTCTCCAAATACCACTTCTAGGACCTGGTGTCTCGGCATTCACACCAAAGCCCAGATGTGTGGCCGTGGCATAGCTGCCAACCAGCCTGATGTGGGTTAGCACCTTTCTCAACGGCACCTTGACATGGGTGGCCCTAGAAATCTGTCCCATGCCAGGCAGGAGGGTTCAGGAAGCAGGGGCTACCCAGGAGGCCCCGCAGTCTGGAAACCTCTAGCTGAGGCCGTGGCCCAGCATCCACACGTTCTCAGAAATGCCGGCGAGTGTACAAGAGAGAAGCTGTTACTGGGAGCTGGGCCCCTGCAGCGGGCGGAGTCCCCACCATGGGCCTGGCCCAGCCTAGGAACCAGGGGGCATCCTCCACGGGCAGGGAGGCTGAGGCAGGCCCAGGCCCACGAATCCAGGGCTCGGGGACAAAGCCCTTCTACCCTCTGGGGGCGGGGGGGCTCAGCCCAGCCCCCAGGAGGCAGAGCTCAGGCCTGCTCAGGGTCTGAAGGGACTGAGTCGTGTCACGTGAGGAGCACGGACTCTGCTGCCAGAGAGCTCAGGTTGCAACCCCAGCTCGCTCACAGGGCTGCTGAGCCATCTGGGCAAGTCACTAACCATTCTGAGTCTCAGTTTGCCCATCTGCAAGATGGGCCTATGCGTGGAGCCAGCCTCACAGGGCTGTGAGGACTCCCTGAAGCACGCAGACCAGTGTCTGGCACCTCACGAGTGCGTCCTCGCCATCCGTGCTATGATCACAGAGCAGGGCTCTGGGCCACAATAATGGTACGAGGGGCCTATCCTAGAACCTGACGCCTCACTGGCCCTGTGGGAGGGAGTCGGGAGGGGCCTGAGAGCCAGACGGCGCTGGAGGGACCAGGCAGAGGCGCCAGAGGCTGGAGCAAGTGCCGGCTACTGGTGTGGGCCAGGGAGGGGCGACCACCTCTCCTCAGGGTGGGAACTCAGGAGAAATGATGGCCGGGAAGCCCGTGATCAGGGGCCACAGTTCCAGCCCCCACGGCAGATATCGAATTTCCTGGTCAGGACGCACTCAAGGCTCGAGGCTTGAGGGTGCTGGGGCTGCCCGAGGGTTCCCCAGCTCACGACCAGGCAGAAGCGAGGGCAGGGAGGGAAGGGTCCATCCACCGTGGGTGCCTGAGCCTGGACTCGACACGGGAAGGCCAGGGCAGGGAAGGACAGGCAGCCGCAGCAGGCATATGTCGGGAGACGGGCCACAGCGGGCTCTAGGACAGACTGGCAGAGCCACGGCAGGCAGGTGGGAGGGTGGCTGTGGGGCCCATCCCTCCGCTGCCAGCCCCAGGGAGCCAGGCCCAGTGCTGAGCTCCGGGGAAGCCGGGAGGAGAGACCACACCCTGCCTTCGGGAGCTGCCAGTCAGACTGGACATGCGGGACTTTGCTGGACAGCAAGGTCACCGGCTGGTCACTGCAGACTCAGCCCCTCCTCCCGGCGTGTTCTGCCCTCGCCAGACACCCGTGGTCATCCCTCGGCTGCTTGCGGGATTCACACACACCGGGAAGTGCGATGGAGAAAGAGGGAGAAGGGAGAAGACACAGAAGGCAGGGCCGTAAAGAGGTCCCTTGACACCAGCCTGGAGAACGGAGGCCCCGTACGAGTGCAGGGGACCAGTGCGCGTCCACGAGGGAAAGCGAAGGTGGACCTGGCCCCACACCACAGCCCCACAACCCCAGACACGTCGAAGACCTGAATTTCACAGGGAAAACTTTAGAACACCCAGAAGAAAATACAGGGACATAGCCCTAAGGAGTCGGGCTGGGAATGACCTCTTAACAAGAAACAAAAAGCTCACCAAGCATAAAAAAGTTGATAGATTTGACTACAGTAAAACTGAGCATTTCTATTTACCAGACGTCAGAAGGAACGAGAAAAGACTAACCCCAAACACCAAGACGACATCTGGGATACGCATGACCAGCACGGACGGGTGTCCAGGACGCAGACAGAGCTCACGCGCACCCGCAGGACAGGGAGAAGCAGGGACAGAAAGGCGCGAGAAGGCGTTTCTCAGCAGAGGAAACAGGGACAGCCAATGCATGGTCTGCAGGGAGATGCACATCAGGACCCCAGCGAGAGGCGGTGGATCCCAGCAGCCCAGCGGGAAGGGAGGTGTCCGACAGGACCCAGGGCTGGGACGGGGGACCAGTGGATCCGGAAGGACTGCGATGACAGAGTCCACGGGGGCCACCACTGGGGAACCGCGGCAGTGTTTTCTTGTTACGGTGATCATTCGCGTACCTTCTGCCCTGCAAGTCCACTCAGCCCACGCACGAGGCACGCCCAGGAAGATCTCAGAGCGGGGTTGCTGGTAATAGAACAAAACGGAAATGACCCAAACATCGATGGACAGGGGACCTCAAAAATAACCTTGGAATCGTGGACATAATTCGTTTCCACACCAGTGAAAATAAACTACAGCTGCACACATCAGCGTGGATAAGGCTCAGGAACAGTAAAATCGTGAGTAAAAAATGCCAATCTTCGATGTTTACACGTATTATGCCATTTTCGTAAAGCTGGACACACACACACACACACACACACACACTACCCTGTGTAGACACACGGTAACCTGTGCACAGGCGAACGATGCACACAAAATCCAGAGCGCGGGGCCTCTGGGGCGGGACCAGCTGCAAACACACGGACGCACGTGCCTGGGAGTTCAGTTCTGGAGCCAGACCTCAGGGTCACGGGTGGTCATCTCACCATCCTTTAAAATGCACATTTATTAATACAACACACAGAGCACATTAAATATCCGAAGACACAGAAAACAAGAGGAGGAAAACAGTGCGGGTCTACACAGACGTGGGATATGTGCATCCCCGTCGCGTGCAGCACTGTTCTCATCTGGGTCACAACAGGAACCCGGAGGGCTCTGGTGGCCAGGGCAGGGACGGGGACCTGGACTGGAGGGGGTTTCCCTCCCTCTGGGCCTCGGCTCCTCTGCACACCACCTGAGGGGAGATCTCTGCTGGGGTGACAAATGGCTGGCCCTGACACCATAGGGCCCCCCTTGGTGGCCACTGCAGGCCTGGCGGATGCTCACGGCACTCCCTCGCCGAGCACACAGCCGGCTTTGGACTCTGCTAAGCCTCCACTGCAGGCTGCCAGAGTTGGTAGATCAGACATGGGACACTACATGACACCTGCTTGCTGACCCAGAGGGGCCATCTGGTTCGGGCCTGGACACCTAGGTGCCCCAGGGAGGAGCCACTGGCTTTGGAGCCGTCCTGGGCCAGACGCCCTGATGCCCGGCAGCGTGGGGCATCAGCTTCCCAGCGCCCACCCGGCAGCCTCCAGTGTCCTGGGCGGGCAGGCTCTGGGCAGCCCCTGTGCTGCTGTGCTTCCTGCACCCGAACACGGCTCGCCTGGCACAGAGGCAGGGGCTCCTCACCCCGCTCTAGTCTGGAGCACCACGGAGCATCGCCCATTGTGCCCATGTGCTCTGCTGCCACCTGCCCCCAGGAAGCCCCTTGTTCCGGGCAGACAGAATGGACTGTATTCTGCCCACTCCCTTGGCAGTCGGGCCTCCTGCCTTTTCCGCTGCGCCCCTGCCTGGTGAGCCCACTTCCGTCCCCTCACAGCCCAGCTAAGGATCCTCCCTGCACCTGCCCCAGCTGCCCTCCTCCCCGGGGGAAGGAACGACCCGTCCTCTAGAAGCTGACGACACAGAGTTCTGGTTCTCACAGGGTGTGCAAGCACCACGTGCTGCTTTGCACTTGCGAAGTTGCTGAAACAAAAACACTCGGATTGTCAGGAATAAAGACGCCAGAAGCGCCCTCGGGTCTGGCTGCTCCGGGCTCGTCCTCTCTCAGGCCTGTCTCCTCGCTCTACAACCCCCACCCCGCCCCGCCCAGCATGCTCCCCCTGTACGACTCCACCTCCTGCGTCACACCCGCTCAGACACCTCCTCCTCCGGGCAGTCTCCCTTGCCTTCCCTCTGCCTGGCCTCACTTATCCTCAGTACCTGCTAGAACACTTGGTGGCGTCCTGCCCTGCCTCCTGCGTGTCTGTGTCCCCCACTATGGGGTGGGGGTGCCGGATCAGGGCCCCTGCTGACTCGCCCCAGCCCTCAGCAGGGACCTGGCACCAAGCGGGGACGCAGCAGGGCCTCGAAGCAGCCTGAGCAAAATCTGTGGTGTCGGTCTTCATGGACGTTGTAGTTTAGTGACAGACACATAATGATAGAGAGTCACTGTCGGGTGCCTTGAACACAGGCAGCCAATCCTTTCCCGAGAACTTCACGCTTGCGCCAAGAGCTCACTGGTGCAGAAACGTGAACTGGGCAAACGGGTGTGCAGAACTTTCCGCTGACAGAGTAAGGTGGGGGGAGCGTGTCACGGAACCACTGGAAGGCCACAGGGTGCCCCGCAGAGATGGGGCAATAAACAGGAACTGACAGACCCTGTGCACGGGTCGGGGCAGGCTGGGTGACGCTGAGTAACACACGACCCCACTCGGCAGGGCACAGCGGGGTGTTCCTCTCCCACGTCACGTGCCGCCCTGGCTCTGCTCCCGTCCTCTCCGCTCCGCACTCAGGCTACCCGAGCCGGCTCCATCTGGAGCGTTGCCTTCATCGCAGCGGCAGGAACACAGAAGTGGTTCTCACGGCGCCGGCGCTCACAGCATGGGCCCACGTGTCTGATGATATTTCACTCGTCATCAGCCAACCCTTTCTCATGCCTGACAGTGACAAGGAGCAGAGAGGCAGGACCCCCAACACAGAGGGCACTAAGGCCAAAGGCACTGAGGGGTCAGTGATAATCCCGCTCCATGCCGTGGTCAAGGTTTGATGTGCATCCCCTAGGAGCACCAAAACCGTGGACTGCATTTTCCACCTAGAATTCACTCTGGCAGTAGTGAGGACACTATATTGCAAATGGGCAGGAGTGAGTGGATTTGGGGAAAAAAATTAGGAGGCTGTTTCAGTTTTCCAGGTGACAACAGGACACAACTTGAAACTAGGACCAGAGCAGTAGAAGCGGAGAAGAGCCCATGGATTCACCGCCAGGACTTAGTGACATGCAGAGAGCTGCAGAGGAGAGAGGGTGTGGCCTCAGGGTGGCAGGAGAAATGCAGCAACTTGGTCCTGGTGGCTCGCCAGCTGCCGTGCCAGTCTTCTGGGAAGTCCAGCTACTCGATACTTGGGCTCCTCCATTGTTTATCCCGGGTTCCCTGAGTTCTCCTACTAAATTTCCCTTCTTGCTTAAAAAAACAAGAGAAAAAACCATGAACTCTGTATAGGAGGCAGCAAACGGATTAATGAGACAGAGACCGGCTGAGGGAACTGACAAGTGAATGACAGCGCGACCGGGAGGATTAATTCCTGTCCCCAAATGCTCAGAGTGAAGAGAAACTGGTCTCGCCCAGAAGAAAAAGGAAGGCCTCCCAGCTGGGCATCCCTTACAGGGCCCCTCCCTCCCCCACCTGCCCATCAGGGTCTCTGTTCCTACCGGGAGCCACTGCCAATTACTCCTGGGACAGAGAAAGAGGGTGCAGAGGAGAGAAGAGGGGAGGAGAGGGAGGCAGATGATGGGTGGGCTCCAGGGAACTGTCACTCCATCTTGTCCTCCCCTCCATGTGGCCTCCCAGTGCTTCCCTTTCAGAGGCCCGAACATGACTGTCAGAGCTGGGAGCCCTGGGGGTGTGCAAACACCCCACAGATGTTCAGTGGCAGCAGCAGCAGCATCCGGCCACCCTACAGGAAGTTATAACCTGGGGACCTCACAAACATAGATGGCCCCAGATCCTCCTCTGCCCGAGGTGACCTCAGTAGCCATGAAGGAGGCAGCACTGAGACGCACAATCATGCGATCCTGGACTCAACTCAGGTCAGCCCCAACATGTGAGCTTTGTCGTCGCTGTCCATGGTGCTCGAGGGTAGACTCACAGCTGCAGAGATGTGTTCAAACACCAAATCATAGTATGTCAGAGCTGAGCGGGGTGCGGGAGCTCATTTACCTGGTGCCTCATTTTGCTGATGGTCGAGCAGAAGCCCAGAGAGGGGAAGGGTTTCTCTGCAGGCTGCACAGCAGAGGCAGAGCGGGAGGAAGCAGCCTGTATATGTCTGCTCAGACACAGCTCATTTCCTACCGAAGGTTCCCGGGTGACACCCACTACCCAGAGTAATGGCCAGTTCTGAGACTGCAGACAAGGATGTCCCTGAGGATGTGGGAGCCAGACAGCTGCAGGGCGGCCTCCCAGGCCGTGGTGGGCAGGCCCCGCGGATCCCTCTGAGCCTTCTCTGCTGCCGTCCTGCTCCCTCTCCAGCCTCCTTTCCAATGCTCTGAGCACAGGAGGCCGCAGACTACAGCCCGCAGGACAAGCTGGGCCTGCCACCTGTTTTTCAGGGCTCTTGCCTTTAGAAGGGCCCTGTAAAATGGCTGAAAAAAATCAACAATAGAACACTATTTCATGACAAATGAAAATAATATGTAATTCTGTGCCCATCAGCTGTTTTTGCAGCACATCAAGGCCCATTCATTTGTGAGTTCTCAATGGCTATGTCCGAACAGCGACAGAACTAAGTAGTTGTGACAAAGACCGTATGGCCACAAAGCCTAAAGTATTTACTCTGGCTATTTCAAGAAAACAGGTTCCCAACTCCTCTGGGAACTCCAAGCTGGCTCCCACCTTAGCAGCTTTGCAGGAGCCGCCCCTGCCTGGGGCCCTGTTCCCCTGATGGTCCTTCCCTCGTTTCCTCCTGGCCTCTGCACAAACGTCACCTCTCCACAGGGCACTTCTCTGCCCACCTCCCACACATCTCCACGGACACCCTCCATCCCATCGCCCATTTTCCGTTCTTCATCTGGATTGGCCCGATCTGAACTCGTCTTCCCCACTGGTCCATCTGCTCTGCTACAGGGTCAGCCCCTGGGGACAGCATCGTCAGTGCTGCTGATCCCTGCACCGGCACCCAGCCAGGCCCTGACACACGGAGGGCGCCCAGCGAACGTCTGGTGACTGAGTAACTGACGATGGCAGGACAAGGAGCAGGCCTTGAAACTGGGAGGGAATCTCACCAAAAAAATTGTCCACTGGGCCCTGAGGCCCCTGAACATCCCTATAGATGCCAATGATAAAGCAGCTGACTTTGTCTTAAGTAGCAGATTTACTGCAGGCCACAACCTGGACACCCCTTGCGCAACTTCCACTCGTGTTGCCCTAGAACTTGTCTGGGGCCAAAAATATGATGGCCCCATGGTGGACATGTGGAAGCTGAAGTCATTCTACACAGCATGGTGACTGGGATCTTGCCATTTCTGACAAACCTCTGTGAAGCTGAGGAAACAGATTCTAGGTGGCAGATATAAAATTTCATTTCTTCAGAACTAAAAAGCAGCATGAACAAATTTGGTACCTTTGAACCCAGGGAGAGGCTCACACTGTATTACATCATGGGACACCCATGGATAAACACTGGCCAAGAGACAATGCCCTGATCACCAGGACCAAGAAAAGATTCAGTTCATGGTGTCCATGGCATCCAAGGCAGATCACATCCAAAAATCCTTACTGGGACAAAAATTTGCTGACACCATAACCTGGTACCTAATCTTGGGCTACAGGATACCTGAGGTAGAAGGCTACGTCATCAGAGTGAGTTCTGCGGATCCCACCAAGAGCTGCAATTCAACCACGTCATTCAAAAAAACCATCGTATATTAAATACGGAATTGAGAATATTGGGAAAAGCACAGTTCATATGTTCTTCATTTGTTCTCTCTTAAGTGTGTCCAATCTGGTCATTCAAGGCTGGTCTAAATATTCTGTATTAATAAAATATTTGAGGTATGATAAGGCCATCAGATCAGAAGATGAATATACTAAAAAGACAATTTGTTATTCACAGTTCGCAAGAGGAAGGGCATAGCATACCACACAGGGCCACACAGGGTGCAGCAGGCTTGGTCAGGAGGCGCGGGGAGGGGGCCGGGGATTATGGGCAGGAGCCTGTCCTGTGCTTCCTGCAGGGAGAAAAGACGAGGGGTCAGCAGACTTAGGATGGGCCAGTGGGAATACTTTCAGGGCTCTGGGGCATAGGGCTGTCCACCGTAGTCTGGTTTCTGTGCTGGGGTGATTCGCACAGGGGGTTAGAGGCCCCAGTGGGAAAACCCACAGGAGAAGGAGTTGGGGTGTAGACACTAAATTAGCATGTATTTGAAAAGTGCACCCCGAGAGGAGGATTCCTCCAGAGGGGATGGTGGGTGAGAGGGAGGCAGGAGCCCAAGGCAAAGTGTCAGCGTATCATCAGCTTATGCAGAACGAGTACTGCCCAGCATGTGCATGTTAACCCTTTAAGTTTACAGAAGCTAGAAACATTGACAATACCAGGGATCACTCAACTGTCACCTTCTCAGAGAAGCTTTCCCTGTCTATGCCATCTGCAGTGACACCCTGCAGCCATCCCCATCCCCTTAGCCATTACCCACTACATGGCCTTCGTGCCATGTAGTGGGTAATGGCCTCTCCCCCTCTGCTCAGCACCCTGACATGGCTTCCACATCATCCAGAGTAAAGTCATCACGGTGGGCCCAAGGCCTGCAGGATCTAGGCCCCCGACCCCCCATGTCTCCTCCTGCACCACTGCCCCCGCTCTCAGTCCACTCCAGCCCCACCCCTGCCCTCCGGGGTTCCCTGAGCCCTGCTGTATTCTCCATAGCACTCATCTCTGCCAACATGCTTCACTGTACGAGTTTCCCCTCCCTCCTCCACCACAGTGTCACCTCCCAGGAACAGAAGCTTTTTTGTTTTTTTCTCATTCACTGACTTGTCTCCAGCCTAGGACAGAGCCTAGCACACACCAGAGGTCAGTAATGAACCAACAACTCTCATCACCACCTGACATGTGTGTGTGTGTGCGCACGCGCACTTTACAGTTTTCACTTACTCAGCCAATATTCAATGAAGCCCTACGAGGAGCTGGGCCTATTCCAGACAATGAAATGTCCCAGGCGGTGAAGCAGGCAGGGAGCTCCATTCTGATGGGCTGACAGTCTGGGGAGAAAGAGAAAAAATAAGGGAGCAATATGTAGTCAGGTGGTGACATGCCCCACGAAGAAAGATAAAGTCAGGAAGGACCTTTGAGAAAATGCCTGAAGGCATTTGGAGTACAAGTAATGCACTGGGCAGTGTTCCAAAGAGAGAACAGGAAGTGCAAAGGCCCTGAAGCCATGGGGGGTTGCAAGTTTCAAAGTCTGAGTATTTACTCTAGATTGTTAGTTTTATCTCTAGTATGTATTTTGCTTTTATTTGTAATCCTTTACCTGCCATCTTACATTGCTATTTAACATGAGCCCCAGTAATGCTGTGAGAGATGACATTGATCTGATCCAAGGTAGTATCGGTCGGTAGAGGCGCTTAAAAGTGGTCAGATTCTGCATATAACCTGAAAGTGGGGAACACAGGATTTACTGTTAGATTAGACGTGGACTAAGAATAAAAGAAGTGGAAGCTGCCTCCATGTGTTTGGTTTCAACAAGTGTAGAATCATCATTTTCTACGCCACTGATGGGTCCAGTAGGATGAGGACTGAGGACAGATTCGTAGATGTTACAACACAGAGGTCACTGCTCACTCTTGTGACTACAAGGGACAAAAGCCTGAAAGGTACAAAAGAGAGAACAGTTGATGATGTAGAGGAGAAAGGAGAATCACCCTTGAGTGGGTGAGAAGGCCTGGGGTCTAACGAGGGGCTGGTTGCACCAGGAGCAGACAGTTCACCCACAGTAACAGAATGTAAAGGTGGTGCCACAGGTGTAAAGACGGAAACAGATATGAAAGGTCTGTGTTCTTTCTTCATCATGCTGCTGGGAGACAGGAGGTCCCAGGATACGGCACCACACAGCCCCGGGTGGTGAGAAAAAGGGTTTCCCATGCTGGAAAGACCTAGCTCTGCATTTCTCAGCAAGGCAAACAGCTCTTAGTCTGAATCTCAGCTTCTGCCTCTGGGGCACTGCTATGAAGGGGTCAGCCTGACGACCTTAGAAGAACGTTCTGAGGAGAAGCCATGGGATAACTGCTTCTGTGAGTCAGAATCCGCCAACTTTCTGCCAAGCTCAAAGCACAGCACCTCTAGGAGAGGCCGGTACTGTGTTCACTCCTATTTTGTAGATGAACCCACTGAGGCACAAGGAAGTGGAGCCACGAGCCCAAGGTCACAGGACTAGTAAGTGTTGAAGCCAGCACTAACTATATCTTGTCTGCTGCAGAGTACCTTGCAGTTTAAGAAGACGTTCCACACACTATGTATCTCACTGGGGCTCTACAGCACATGTTTGAGGGAGACACGTCACCAACTCCATTTTAAAGGTGAAAAAACTGAGTGAGTCTCAAAGGCACAGACCCAAGGTCAAATCCAAGTCTTCCACCTCGAAGAGGACCGTGAGTGCTTAATAATCTAGCTGTTATTACTGGCTGGGTTGTGCGACCTGTGAAAGCCACCTTGGAGCCATATTTCTGTGGAAACTCAATGGCAGGGAGAGGCCCTAGGCTCATCTGTGGAAGGAAGCCCAGGGGCCACTAAAAGGTGACACAGGAGCCACATGGTCTAAGCTGCGTTTAGGAATCAGGGAGGAAGCCTCCTATATTCATTCAGCGTGAGGACGGCAGAGTTGGGGTCGCTCAGTGATCACTCACCCAGGCTTTCCCAAACTGCCCTGAGGAGAATCAGCTCGAATACTTGTCACCACATTTCCCAGGGCCCGCTTCCCTGGAAAAGCTCTACCTTTCCCTGGGAAGGCTCTCCTGGGGCAGAGGAATTTGGAGTGTTAACACGTCCCGCCCCTGGGGTGTACCTCTCAGGCACCACTGGGGACGCTGACAAGGACTGTTCCCAACCTTGCCCGCTAAAGACAAGAAGCGGCAGCCACACAGCGAGAGTCAGCGGCGCACACATAACCTCCTTCCTGGAAGGAGTACGCTGGCTTGGGGCACTGGCGCACGGCGAAGGCCACTGGAGGCCGGCGGGCACGCACCTTCACCGCGGTGCTCTGGGAGAGCCCGCTGCCACTCACGCTGCCCAGTCGCCCTGGCCGCCCACGGCGCTGGCTCGTCCTTCCGGTCCCGCGCCGCTTGTCTGCGCCGCCTGATGACGCCACAGTCCTGCGCCGCGCCGCGTTCCTGCTGCCCTTCCGGCCGTTTCTCCGGGGACTTCGCAGAGGCCGGGCCGTCCGCAGCTTTCTGCCATGCCCACGCCGCCGCAGACCTCCCCGCCGTCCGTCCCGCTCCAAGGCTCCGGTGCAGCCCCTGGCGCGCAGGCCGGAGGGGCCGCCGCCTCGGAGGTCTAGACAAGGCTGGCGACGGCGGCCCGGAAGGTTCTTTTCCGCAAATATCAGCGGTAGTTCCCCTAAATACCAGCACGACTGTGTTTCCCGGGTGCGCGGGAGTCTAACAGGCTGCCCATCTACTTTCACTTGCCTCCCTCCTGCCACCTGCGGTGAGGAGGACGTGGTAAAACGAAAGAAAAAGTAAATGCGGAATTCGCAGTAGAGGGGATGGCTCAGAATCCATCCAGGTAATGTTCCGTCTTTTAATGGATGCAGGATTCGTGAGATTCCTTTTCTTGTGCTTTGTAGGTTATGTTGTAAACTAAAGTCCTAAGCACCTTTGCTGACTGAACGGACCCTCTCTTAGCCAAGGGGACCCAGAGAAACCTTGAAACTAAGTTCTTTGTGACTCTGTTTTCAAATAGCCTGTCTTCGAGCTCACTAATTCCGCCTTCTGCTTGAAGACGGGCTATTTGAAAATGCACAGTCAGAAGGGAAAAAAGAATAAAAAAGAATGAAGCTCATATACAAGATGTAGAAAAATAGCCTCAAACGGGCAAATCGAAGAGTTATTGGCCTTAAAGAGGAGGTAGAGAGAGAGATTGGGGGAGAAAGTTTATTCAAAGAAATAACAGGGAACTTTCCAAACCTAGGGAAAGATATCAATAGTCAGGTACTAGAAGGTCAAAGAACACCAAGCACATTTAACCCAAATAAGACTACCTGAAGGCATTTAATAATCAAACTCCCAAAGGTCACAGGTAAAGAAAAGGTCCTAAGGGAAGGAAGAAAAAAGGAAAAAAACATAAAAAAGCTCCAGTACCTCTGGCAGTAGACTTCTCAGTGGCAACCTTGCAGGCCAGGAGTGAATACCCATGATAATTTTTTTAAAAACTGAGTTGTGGGCCATGAAGGGAAGGGAGGTCGGACATGCTTCACACTCCTGCCCTTTTGGAGTTAAATACAGCATTAATGTTAAAACAGAAATCACGGCCCTGTGGAGTGGCTCACACCTCAAGTCCCAACACTTTGGGAGGCCGAGGTTGGAGAATTGCTGGCATCCAAGAGTTTGAGACCAGCCTGACCAACATAGCGAGACCCCCACTTCTAAAATGAAATAAATTAGTTGGGTGCAGTAGCACACACCTTTAGTCTCAGTACTTCGGGAGACTGAAGTGGGAGCATCACTTAAGCACAGGAGTTCAAAGCTGCAGTAAGCTATGATTGCTCCAGTGCACTCCAGCTGGGACCACAGAGCAAGACCTCTTCTCTTTAAAAAACAAAACTAAACCAAAAAAACGCTATCCTAAGACTGACAAAACAGACTCTGTGACAGTAAGATACTAAATTATTAACAGACCTAAGGCCATACAGGGCAAAAATTATATCACACCTGCAGGCCATCGATTTGCTTAAGGGATCATTCTGAGCATATTGTGGCCTGCTTTCTGATTGGCAGACCCTTTAACTTAATAAGCATTCCTTTTGACTGACTACAAGTCTGTAGACAAACGTTTATTTCTTTAACTAATTACAAATCAATGAATCTTTGAAACCGCCTACAACCTGTAAGTCCCACACCTGTACTTCGAGATGTCCCACCTTTTCAGGCCAAACCAATGTATACCTTCCATATATTGATTTATGATTGTACCAGCAATTCCTGTCTCCCTAAAATGTATAAAACCAAACTGTAACCCAACCACCTCAGGTCCAATTACTCAAGACTTTTTGGGTATGGCTCCCTGGGCTGATGGTCACTCGTGTTCTGCTCAAATTAACTTTTAAAAGTTATTTTACAGAGTTTGGATTTTATCCATTAGCAACATGTAGGTTATCTTTTTTTCTTTAGAAGAGGAAAAGAAAATGATTATTCTGCCAATGAGAGGTCCGGGGTACAAAGGAGCTTTAAAACTGTTCCTGCTCGTTGATCCAGTATTTCTACCTCTGAGACTGTTACTTAAGGAAATCATCAGAGGAGGGACAAGAAAGCTCTGCACGATGTTCATTGCAGTAGTATTTATTAAATAAAATCAGACACTACTACATACCCCGAACAGGAAAGAGTGAGGTCAAGCATGACACACTGCGTACAGACCGTTATATTACCTGTGTAAATGTTGTTTTAAGGGAATTTTGCAGGGCCCCTGCAGGGAAACAGCGATACACGAGACAGATACCGCACCTGCCCTCTTGGAGCTGACATCCTCTTGGGAAAGACAGACTGTAGGCAAGTGGGCAAACAAGACAATTTCAGGTTGTGATACGTACACAGAAGGACGAATGGGGTGATGTGGCAGAGCCTCATGGGGGTGAGGAGGGCTCTTCGACGGGGGTTACACGGAAGGCCTGTCTCAGGAGGTGGCATTTAAAGTGAAGCCTGAATCAGGAGAGGGAGCCAGCGAGCTCACCAGCCAGGGACAGACATCCCAGGAGAGGGAGCAGCAGTTTCCTAGCTCTGGGGTCTGGAGCTTGGCTGTGAGGGACAGCGGGGAGGGTGTGGCTGGAGTGGGGAGCTGGGGGAGACGGGAACCCTAAGAAGCCCCACGGGCCCCGTAGGCTGCGGTGGAGCTTGGATTTTGTTCCAAGGGCAGAGAGCTGCAGAGCGGATGCAGAGGAACCTGACTCGGTCTAGGCAGCTGCTGGAGGCGTCAGGGACGAGGGCGCTGGGCTGCGGTTACAACCCACGCTACAGGGGGAGACGGGCGTGGAGTGAT